ATTCCGAAAACAATTGTTAATTTGATGTAGCCTTTTTAAGGGTTTTTTAAATATACCCACTTACAAAGATTTAACTTCTTTTTTGTGATACAAGGTATACAGCCAGCTGCAGGAATTTATTTTCCTTGTGAATTTTGTAAGGTAATAGATATTAAGACTGAAATATTTTTTAGTTTATTTTCTTATTCTTTTATTTCCTTCAACATACAACCATACGAATTTTCAACATACAACCTTCAAGATAGCCACTGGCCGTATCTATGTTTTGGCAATAGCATCTTGTACCCTATTGAACTGCCTTATTAAAGGCGTAACAAATTACTGTAATTCAAATTTATTAAAATCATGAATGTGTTGCTTGTGTGAGTCCATATCAAATAGGTAAAGAAATAATAATAATAAGACTTACTCACAATCAATTTAATTTAACAATCAGACGACCGGTTTCGCTTTCTACAATTTGCAAAGCATCTTCAGGTCTAGATACAAAGTTAAACTAATGCTGCAATAAAATAAACCCAATTAGGGTGGTGTCTAATAAAGATAAAAATAAACAAATAAGTTAGTTCATACAAATTATAGTAATTATGCCAATATTACATGTCTGTGGTTTTCAAAATGAATAAATTTGAATATATAAAAGGTATTAACAGACAAGGTGAGACCCACAATTGGTATAAAGTAGTAATATTATATTGTAATAAATTAATAAATGAGCAGATTTTCCGGCATGTAAGTAATGTTTTTTTGTTGTATTTATCTTTTTTTGTATTTATCGTTTTTCTATTAATAAATTTCCAAGTAGAAAGTTTCTGTATGTGTCTTTCGCGGAAATGAGAGAAATGGAGATTTTCTTTTGGGGACAGTTTCTTAAATTTTTGAGGAAACGAATACACTTCGATGTGAGTAGTCTGTAACTTTCTTTTAAACTGTTGTTAGCAATTCGATCTTAGAAAGTATTTTAATCCAAACCAGATTATATTAAGTCAATCTATATCTATTACTACCTTTATTTGTTGGTAATTTAATTTGCTCCATACTAATACAATTAAGTATAGTATAGTAAGTTTAAAGTCAGTGCGATTTTAAGTCTGCAGATATACAAAACAACTGTAAGTAATTAGTTTACCTTCTTATTTATATATTAAAAGCGGAGGTGTTGCTAAATCTTTGGTGATGTCCGAGCTATCTTTTTCACCTGTCTTCAAAAGTAATGAATGCTGCTACCAGATTCCTTCTAGAGTCATTTCTAATTATTCATCAATTCTCAGTCAATCAAAAGCATTTAACATTTACGAACATTTTTAACATTTAGTAAGAACATTTATTCCATTAGAAACAGTGCGAAACTTAATTTTAAAAACACAGTGCGGTTCATTTCTTCGCTCAATAAAGATTTTGGACTTATTTTTGTAACGCTTTAAATTTTCAATGCTATTATTTTATTTGTATTATTAAATTTAGGATTTTCTTTATCTCGAGATAAGCCCTAACAGTAAAGAGTGTACATCTTTTTCTCCTTTGTTGAATTTTTAATTAATTACATCTCTCTTTCCTGATCGATTTACGTTTATATGTATTTTCTATATATGATGTATGTTGAAGGTATTTTTTATCGATTTATTGTTTATTTTTATATATGTAGCCAATCAGGTGTTAACTGTTGGTACATTTTTTGTGTTTTTCGATGTATTCAACCCTATATGTTGAAGCTTACAATTAACCTTTAATTTTTTTGTTTTGATTCAACCATTTGTTAAGTTATACAAAAGGATCAGTGTCGTCTTTTTCCTATCTTTATTCATTTTTATCTGGTAACCTTCTATACATTTTTCTCTATCTATTTTTCTGTTGATCCATTTATCTATTCTATCTTATCTAATCCTTGATAATTTCTTCTGTTATACAACATACCGATTCCAAAAGCTAGTTTTGAACCCGCTCTCCACCAACCATCTGGCTGCCGTTCGCAGTATATCCATTGGTGACCTTTCTAACACCATCCAAAAAAGGTTACGCATGGTATAAGGCAGTAAGCCAACAACAGAAGTTGCTCGTGCTGGACATCGAAATAAAAAGTGAAATTAAACCAAAACATCGAAGAGAACCACAAAAAATCAAGTTTTGGATGTTAAATAACGAAAAAGAAGCTTTGATTGGTATGATCCAAGATAAAAACTTATAGAGAAATGTAATTAGGGAAGCCGACTTCTCATAAGAATAAAGGCAAAGACATTGGAATTTTCTGATTTAAGTTATATTAAGACGATATGCCTGATTGGTAAATAACAACACTATGGAAAACAAAATGATATTAGTTAAAAAAATTAAAAAAATATCTCCCTTTTCCAATTGTTAATTTAATCTTAAACTTTCAGAACAATGGAACCATTTAATATGTAAGTACGTATCTTAAATATTAATTAGCGGAGGTAGTACCAATAGCGATAAAGAGAAAACACAATGAATTAAAATTATTAGAGTTTACAAATTTGTTCGAAATTAGTCTGGGAATATAACTCAGATTAGCGTTTTCTTATACATATTACTTTGGTATAAAGAAATTCACCAACCGTTATATTTGACCTTAAACTTTGAGTTTAGTTGTTTATAAATTCATTCAAAGCAATATTCAAACTCGCGTGCATAGCGTTATTATTTAGTTTATTGTAAGACTGGGTATACGTGACATAGCGAACTTCATCAAAATGACTACGTCACCTGAGTTGTGTTATATGGGGAAGTTTTTAGAGAAATACGATGGCGGCAAAATATATTTAAAGAAAGATTATTGGAATGAAGGAATTGCTTTAATTTGTATTGAACATTTAGAAAAAAGAAATGCTATTAGCGGTAGGTAGAAATTATTAGTTCTTATTTAGATGTTTATTTAAAAAAGGAAACTATAATATTGACCTCGTTAGAAATTAGGTTAGGTTTACAACTTTAAAAAGTAAGGAGGGTTGAGGTAAAGGCACTATCTAATTTCATTTATTGTGTATTATTAAAAAAAACAATTTAAACATAAAATTTGTTCCATGTTCTGCATTTCCTTTTTAAGGTATTGGTGTTTGCAGCTGCTCTATAAAGTTGGATGAATGAGCAATTAAACTAGCCTCTGAGATTGCACAGCCTTGGAACTCATCTAGCCTAAAATGCTACTTTTCCTAAAATATTTCTGTTTGTAATGATTTATAAAAAACAATATTTTATTCTCCTAATTAGTTGGCCAAATTATTGTAGTTTTCACATATTTAATATTTTATTTTTTAACTTATATTTCTTTCAGAAAGTCGTCTCATATATTTGTAAACATATGAACTTCTAGTTAGGAAGTCCAGGGAGAGATGACGAATGAACGGTTACATTTCATGAAGATTTCATTTGCTCTTTTGCCAAAAGTTTTTGCCCGTTAGTCTACTGACTTTTTGAAAACGAGTTTAAGATCTTTAGCTAGTTGAATTGGTGTGATTCCAGTTTTATGGTTGGATCTTTCTATCTTTCTTCTATCTTCTATCTTCTTTAGCAAAATGATCCGCTATTTCATTACCAGTAATTCTAGTATGAGAAGGCAACTATATGAGAGAGGAAACCTCAACAAATGGCAATATGTCTGTTTTAATGGGAGGGAGATGCATTTAAAATCAAACAGAATACTATATAGCTCACCTGTGTGAACGCAGCATGTTAAGAGTAACCGAGGTTACAAGGTCATGTGTAGTGGTTACTGCACTAACATCAGTGGTAGTTTTAGAAGCATCGGTATAGTTAATTAAATCATTATGATTTTTTTTGTATAATTTCTAAAAATGCTTTCTTTACAACAATGTTATACGATTTATGTTTGTTAAAGATGTCGTGGAGAATAGGTCAATAAATTGAGACATAGGCTTTATGATAATATGCTGGATAATGTTATTGGAAAAAGACGGAATTGTGATAATTAGAGAATAAATGGAGTTAAAGGGATTTGCCGATGGTGATGCAGCATACGAAAGTAGAAGATTGTCGTCTTAGGGTGAGAGGAGGTTCATTGTATTTACGGTACATGCTCTCGATAGGACTAGAGCAAAAAGCACCTAGACATAGAAGAAGCGCGCTATTGTGAACAGAGTTTAATGAATCTATGTCATGTCTAAAGGCAGAGAAATAGTCATTCTCAGTCATTGCAGATGACTGAGGGTTTTAAGAATGTTTAAAAGAATTAGTTTTAAGTTCCGAGATTTGATTCTTCAAATTTAATCTAGAGTCAAATATGAACCGAGAATTTTACATTAATTAACAACACAAAATAGTTAATTGTTAAATAATGTTTGGAGTAAGGAAGTAGAGACCATTTTGGAAAATTTTATTCATTTGGTTTTGCTCTAAGAGGGTGATAATACTAGTTCCATAGATCTATCCTAAAGTAGTTTTACTACACTATATAAGTTTACGTATGGTAGGTACAAATTTACCATGGCGGTAAATGATTAGGTCATCAGCGTATTGAACATATTTAATGGAAGCAGAAAATGGCCTGCACATTTCGTTGATTGCGAGAATAAATAGAGTTGAACTTAATACAGATCCTTGAGGGATACATTGAATTTGAGGAACAGATTGAATAAGTTTACCATTGCCAAGGACTTAACAGGTTCTTCCAGTTAGACAGTTTTTTACAAATTAGAGAATATTACCATCTAAATTATAGTAGTAGAGATTGTCAATTATAGCTTTTCTGGAGTTTAAATCACATGCCCCTTCAATATTAAATATAGTTGCTACGACATCTTGTTGATTGTTAATTGCTTGAGAAATGTGTGTTTTAAGAAGAACAAGGTTATCAAAAGTAGATCGATGATGTCGGAAGTCGAATTGAGCGTAGAGAATATTATCATACTTTTCAACATCCCTTAATTCCTTGTCTTTCAATGTCCAACTCATCAATCAACCGATTTCATACCCTTGAGACTACTAGTTCAAAGTAGCAGATGATATGTACTACATTTGATATTAAAATTTCGAACTAGATCTGTGTTCGAACCATAAACCTCGTAGTCTAAATATGTTAAAGTGTTCCTGCCAACCAATCGAACAATCAAGCCGACTCACTATGATTACATAGATTTTTTTGCATTGTAATGTATGGATTGTAATAAATAAAGCTTACTTTACCGTAAGTTTATAACTAAAAAGAATAAAGTAATTTACTGGTTTTAAATGATGTATGTATATTTAATATTCTACCAGTGGTTTTTTCATTTTTAGGTAAAATGTATGTAGATTTTTTCAAATGTGTTCTGGAATTAGAAAATTGGCAAAATGGAAAAGCTTTAATACTATATGGCGAAGGACCAAATTTTTGTGCTGGAGGAGATTTAGATTTTGCAAAAAAAAGAAAGTAATAGTACTGCAGGTTACTACATGAGTTATTATATGCACAATATACTTAAAAAGTAAGTAAGTAATAATAATGTTTATTGCTAAAAGAAAAAGTTAATATTGATCATCATTAGTATCATACACAAACAACACAATGACTGTACACAATTTTTCAAATCACATCCAAAAATTTACTTTGTTAGGAGTGACAAGAGAAATGTAACAGTGACAATGTATAAGAACGAATACATTAAAAATGTGTTTAATAAAATCTAGTACGTCTTGCATCGATAAAAGTCTAACATAGATAAACTGAGCAAAATTTATTGTTATTTGGAAAAACAGCAAAAATAAAATAAATATTTACCTGTACGTATACACGCTATAATACACCTGTATGCATAACATGTTGCATACCATTAAGACAGGTTTAAAACTTAAAAAGTAAAATTACCCAAGATGGGCCTCTAGTATTTCTTGAAAAAAAAAATATAATATTAAGAACACCTAATTACATTTTATTCATATAGTTTTTACTTTCTGTTCTCTATGTATCAGAGTTAAAACACACTAGTAAAAGATGTCATAAACTAAGTTTTACTATGTTTACCTGAATTTTATAAATTATATATATATATATATATATATATATATATCGCACCCTCAGTAATATAAGGGATCAACTCAAAATTTTGGTAAATTGAGATTTTAGATGCTATGGGCACAAAATTAAATTCTCTACCGGTTAGCGCTGACAGAGAGAGAAATAGGACATTAGTTGCTCGGTAAATATATTTGTGCCTCTCTCTTACTCTCCCCGCCAACCTACTGTTTTTACTGCTACAAGGTAACAATCAGTAACGTGTCCATAGTCGTCAAAGGCGGACTGTTCAAACGTCGTGCGATTCGTGTTTGTGCCCTTCTATGACAAAACTCCTGGTGAGTTTGTATCTTAACATTTTGTATTATATAGAACAATTTTTAGTTTAGCCCTTATATTATGTAAAATGTAATTAATAATTGGGTCTAATTCATAATAGCTCGCTATATTGCCAAAAAGTAGAGATGTTATACGGAATCATATCTTATTGGTTCATTATAGTACGTAAATTGTTTTATTGTTGATGGCGAACTTTGTAATTGGCCCTTATTTACATGAAAATTTTAACTATTTTTTTAATTGATCCGATTAAATTAACAGAAAAATAATTAAGTTGTAGTTTTAAAACAGTGTTTATTACATAGATGCAATGTATTGTTTGTAGTGTAAAATTTTTACATTTTATTTTATTATATAATCCGAGTTCGTTCCTCAGCAAGGTACGTCTAAAGCCAATATTTCCATGCCATCCTTATCGAGATGCGATGAGTTGCCATCAGTTAGATCAAGAAGAGTAGGTAATTACATAATGTCTTCAATACATTCAGAGGAAAGCGACGTAGACCTCAGTGATGACGATCCCACTTACAAACAAGAATATTTTCGTCGACGTCCACGGATCACAGCAACTCTAACTTCGATTGATACAAACAATGTAACTATGACAAATGATAACATTCAAAGACAATCCAGAAAACGTAAAGCAGATCCAACCAAATAGATACAAAACACGCAAAAAATGAAACGAAACTTGGGTCAAAGCTATGTAGCTATACATTCGAAGAAATTGGTTCCTGCACGTAATATGAAACCACCTTGTGTCCAAAAATGTAGATTAAAAGCAGTGAGCGAATCGATGATTCCAAAAGGTTGAAATTATTTAGTGCATTTTGGGCATTAGGGGATAGACAATTACAAGGAATGTATGTTTTGTCTAATAGCGCACAGATTACACCTAGGTACAAGTATACCAATGCCGAAAAAACCACGAAATCCAAACCATGCATTCTATTTTTCCGTAGACAACGAAAGAGTTAGTGTATGCAAAAGCTTTTTTATTAATACTATTGATATTTCTCATAAGATGATTCGAAATGTACATGAAGATAATAGAAAAACTGGGCTTCATAAAGGATGACCAACGCGGCAAACACAATAGTCATAAAAGTGTAAGTGATGAGCTTATAAATGACATCACCAACTTCATCAACCCTATACCCCGCATTGAGTCACATTATCTAAGAGCATCTACCTCTAGAGAGTACATCAGCAGTGGTAAAAGTATTGCAGAGCTGTTTAGAGATTTTGAAGTACTGCAAGAGGAAAGGTCTCGCCCGGCTGGACTATATCACACGTTTTATGAAATTTTTAACACAAAATTTAACATTGACTTTTATCAACCCAAAAAAGATTAATGCGATCTTTGCCTGCAGTTCCAAAATTCTACTGAACCACTAAAACAGAATCTTAGGGATCAATATCATACGCATTTGGAAGAAAAGAAGTTATGCAGGGAGGAAAAAAAGAATGACAGAAAGAACATTGATGAGTGCAATATTTGTGTATGTTACGATGTACAAGCCATTATGCAAAGTCCTAACGGTGAAACATCAGCATTCTACTACAAATCTAAATTAAATAGTTACAATTTCACTATGACGGAATTAAAAAAAATTCACGAAAACGATGTGTCAACAATGGACATCTCTAAAGGCTATGAAAATGTCCATTGTTATTTTTGGGACGAGACTCAAGCGAAAAGAGGCGCTACAGAGATAGGGAGCTGTGTTTTCCATTATTTACAGATTGTGTCTGATAAAGCTGGTGACAGGGAAGCAAATATAACATTTTTTTCCGATAACTGTTGTGGGCAAAACAAAAATAAATATCTCACATGCTTATACTTATACGCTGTTGCCAATCTAAAAAATTTGTCGTCGATAACTCACAAATATCTCATAAAAGGGCACACTCAGAACGAAGCTGATAACGTGCATAGTTTGATACAAAAGCAGATAGCTAGAAATAGGAAAACTGGCCCAATATACTCTCCTGTTCAATAAATCTCAGCAATCAAAAGAGCAAGGAAAACTGGTGCTCCATTTATAGTTCACAGTTTAACTTACAATGTTTTTTACGATCTTCAGAAATTACAAGAAAATTGGGGCTATAATTTTAATACAGATGAACAGAAAAATAATCTTGTATGGAATAGTATTAAAGTACTGAAATTTACCAAAGAAGACCCATTTTCGTTTTATTACAAGTGCTCATATAACGATGAGTTTAAAATAGTTAATGTTCGTGATAAGAGGAAGAGAATGCCAAATATTAAAGAAATAACCATGCAGAAAGCGTACCTCCAGGCACTTCCACTTCGTTGTGCTAAAAAGAATGATCTTAAGGATCTTATTAATAAACAATTGATAGGTCCATACTATGCGTCTTATTATAACAACATGTTGTCTTAATATTACTAATCTTTGGGATTTCAACATTATTTTGTGTAGACTGAGTACATAGTCAAAGTACAATAATTAAGTTTTGAGACTGAATTTTATTTTTGAAGACTTTATTTTTTAGAATGAATTTTTTTGTTGTGTGCAGTTTTCTAAGTTTAGAATGGAGGAATGAATGTTTTTTTGTTATGTATAATTTTTTAAGTTTACTGTGGAGATATTGTGATATACAATTAAGTAATAAGTAAACGACAATGTAAAAATTGAGGAGTTACTACTTGTAAGTTTTATTTGGAATTAAAAAGTTTAACTAATAAATGTGATAATATTAAAGCTATCTTATTATGTTTAACTCTTGTTTTGAATTTTTTTTTAGATTATTGTTATATTTTGCACTGATTAATAAAGTATTACTATTATTTTACCTGATATTTTATTTATGAAACAGACACAATAAATTCAAACATCGGTTGGGATTGGTGATATAGAGTACCATTTACGATTAAAAATTAAACAGTGGCAGGTACACTAATAATATAAGGGATCAAACTTTAATAGTTCCTTATTTCTGTTATGGTTTTTTATACTATACGGGACTAACTCGAAAGTAGTTTTTTCCATTCCTTGTAATTAATAGAATTTATTTATATTATTATTCTTTCCTCATTGTAATTTTTAGTGCAGTTATCAAATAACAAATCTGCCAAATTTCATATTTATAACTTAAATAATAAGCACGTTATTTGAAAAAATAGCTGTAATGTCGGATACCAGAATCTTTAAACGCGATTTCCCACAAATCTACTTTTTTGAATTGTGCCTCTATATTACTGAGGGTGCGATATATATATATATATATATTATATATATATATATATAGATTTCCGCGGTCAGATGAATGAAAATCACTACTCGAGAAGAACCGCGTTGAGAATTTAATGCTCGACGTTTCGGCTCCCATTTTGGAGTCAAGAGGGAATCAAGAGGGATACGGTTCGGTTCGAGTTCGGGGTCTCAATCTGCCTACTTCCCTCACTCGAAACGTACCAGTATCGTGTTCTGTATTATAAATACAGAAACCCGATAATGGCTCAAATGGCTCCTATATATATATATATATATATATATATATATATATATTTTATATATATATATATATATATATATATATATATATATATATATATATGTATGTTAAACTTTCCGTGTCGAATCGGTATTAATCGAGTGTTACGACTCATTTTAGCATTCCTTCTTCATCAAACACTCAGGTTGATATAAATTCAAACTCGAAAAGTACTACGAATGTCTCCTAAAACTTAACCACTGCAGTGGTTAGCGTAGAGAGGTGCCACCTGCTTTGGTGGCCATGAACAAAAACGATTTATTATTATCGTTTTCTATCCTCTGGGCTATACGAAACATTAAATTTGTATCAGCTAGAGTGTCTGATGAAGCAAAGATGTACGGGAAGTTTAACGAATTTGTCCTCTTAGGCCATTTAATTCAACAAAGCAATAGCAGCTTTTGCTTAAATATTTAATCTTCTACATATAACATTTCTCTTTAGCTTAGTCTAGGCCTTCTTCTCTTGCTTTTGACAACAGTAGTGGGCCTAAAAAGCGCAGTTGCCACAATTACCTTAATGTATATTACCTATGTCCAGCTGGAAGATTTACTCACTGTATACTCGCCAGTTTATGTAAACTTTAACTTTTTAAATGTAAGTAAACAA